TTATTTATTGCAAAAATTGTGCAGAGAAAACGTCAAAAAATGGAAATTTATTTTCATAAGCGTTTCATATTCAAAATTTTTGACTTTTTTCAATTTTTTTAGGTTCAATTACGAATTATGGGTATAAATAATAAGAATTTTTTCGCTGCCTGTTATAGGATCAATATCACGGACGCCATTTGTCCAGCAGCTGAGCAACTCGCACGCGTACCTGCCAAATGGGATGCTTCATATGTCCGCCATTTTTAAATATTTTTGGAAAAAAAAATACGTATGGACAGTCCAAAACATATATAAATAAATGTTTAAGTTTGAAAAATATAGAAAAATTCTTTCTCCTACAAAAAAATTCTTGAAAATAGCTTATTTTTCCTCGTTCTAATTGGATTTCCCCCCTTAAGGATCGCCATGATGTAATATATTGCCGTTGCTAATGGCCCTACGAGATTCTCCAGTTCGCCGATACTGCAGTTGGCAAATAGGTACAATTGTTGAAAATAATGTACAGACAGTAAACATGACATATAAATCAGCCGATAAAAAGAAATGTATGGCATGTCCGGCCAAACGCCGAGGATTTGAAGACCGATCTTTAACGGTGAACTGATCGTGCTCGTGAGTAACATCTTTCAACCACCCACGAGGAAATACACAAGGAAATAAAAGTCGAAATATGCACAGCACTCGCGTATATGGTAAACTGAAAGAGCATCGTCCGATCCTCTAAGTTCATCCCCATATTCTTTGTCCCCACTGTGGTGACCAGCGATCAATCATCATTATACATAGGATATTACAGTAGTTGAAGTTATTTTCCAACTTATAGACATCCTATAATTCTGCCGATGCGTTGTATAATCGTTCTGAACGCGCATCGAAAAAAAATTAATGATACGTCTCCTCAAACGAATATCACTCTTTTCTCTTTTCACTTTTCTCTTTTCCAAGAAGATTGTTCCACGACGAAGGTATATCATGTATAAACTATAAGTGATTCTCGCATCTTTTACGTGTACTGAAGACCATTTAAAGTACAACGACTACATTAGTTATTCTAACAGAAATAATTTATATGCGTGACTATGATTCTTAGAGAAATAATCAAGGAGAGTACGTTGTGTCTACCATTGATCGGGAGGAATAGCGCATAATAGCGAGTCATTTTTATAAATGCTACATAGAATTATATTATACGAGGTGCACATGTGGCAGAAGTCTCAAAAGCAAAAAATTGTAATCGATTACTTTTTCGGTAGAAACTTTTTTACCAGTACGGACAAACAAAGGCGCCTTCGGACCTGTGCACGCTCAGTTCCATTGGTGCTATACAATTCAGCAAATCAATAATCTCTAAAAAGATTCGACCAACCGTGATCATGTAATGCGCAATCAGTAGAAGAAAACTAAGAATGTTAAGAAAGGTAAGTTAATATATAAAATTCGTAACAAGAGAAGTTAATATAGAAAATTATAATAAATTTATACACACATACAGAATGTATCTAACCTTTTAATTTTTGCACGCGATTATCTTTCAAATTATCGCTATTATACGTAAGCAGACAATTTTCTGATAAAAACACATAAATACAGAACGTCAAGCTCTCAAAATGTCAATTCCGTTTTGAACACATTCCCGCTTGTTGAATGAATCAACATTCAAGGAAAACAATGAGCTAAAAATGGACACGACTAGTCGAAATTTTCTAGTCGATTAAGTAAATGGTATAGCATCAGTGGAATTGAGTATACGTGCGCAGAATTGTTTGTAAATTTCACTGCAAATTTTTAAAATAAGTTGTCTGAAAAATTGGTGCCTCTCCTAACAAATAAACCTACACAAAAGTGTAACTTTTGGATAGGTTTACTTATGAGTAAGAACATTTTAGTAAATATTAATAATTAATATTAATATATTAAGGTAACAAAGCAAAGAAAGACATGTAATCCAGCTCATATTATATATAACTTTTGCATATTAAATATAATTAGAGTCTAGAAAATATTAATCTCGTATGTCACCTTAAATCTATGAGCTACTTTGTCTACTAAATGCAGGTGATATCTTAGTTTGTAGACATCGTAATGATTTGAGATAAAGTATATTGAGAAACTGGGACTCCTTATGTTCATTGGAAGTATTATTTTTCTCTGAAACAAGATAATTAATTGTTAAAATTAAATTGTCATGATAGAAATTATGTATTGCTCTCAGAGCAATAGATTTGGGCGAAAACGGAAATTGGTCTATGATAAGAACAGCGAAATCTCAAAGGTCAATACCGGCACATTCAGCAGTTGTTATGTCAGTATAATATCACGAAATTATTTCGCGATCCTAGAGAAAGCTCAACATCATACGTCTCTGCTCAAGGATCCCTCAATCGATCAATCGCAATTATGTACTGCGTAGTCGAACAGTAATCCGAGGCAACGCTTATTATCTGTCTGTCCCGTAATTATATTAGAACAATATATTCAATCGTAACTCAGAATAAAGCTTATATCAGGTGATGCATGATAATAGTCGTTCTGTCGCTTCGATAAATCAGATCTATCGACGGTGAAAATATACTTGCTTATTTTTTTGCCAAAATAGAAAAAAACGACCTTTATGTTCTTTACATATCATAAAAATTAACAAACATAAACTCGCTTGAACGATGGCACTTATGGGATCTTTAAAAAAAATAAATAAAGAAGAAAACATCGTACCTCCTTTATACTCGTAACAATACATATATATTTTTCTAAAAATATGTATATTGTAAACATTTTCAATTTGATATTGTCTCGAAGAATACTATAATTAATTATCATGTTACGTTTTAATTGAAAAATCAATCATTAAATGATTTCTGAATATTTACTGACCTTAAGAACAAGATATTTTCCGACAAAACAAAAGACAAAACTTTCCATCATTATTGCGTCATAAGCAAAAACGTTTCTCACTAGGTCGATAAGAAAACCGATAAGAAGATATACGTAATAAGGCATTTCTTCAGAGATAGTTTTGAATCTTTGGCATATGATATCACATTGTTCGGTGGCGTAACGAAGTATCTAAAATATACTTAAATATCCGCAAAGATTTCGAGTATTATATTCAACGGTGAAAATGCGTTTAAAAAAATACATCTCGAATAAAATAAAACGGAGGAAGAAAGAAGCAGAACGTAATATATTTTTCTATGTGTGTGTGTGTGCATGTGTGATAATTGATTATTTAATTATAAATATCATCTAATTAGTGATTTTCTAATTGCGTATCGAATGTCTTTCCCCTTCTCTCTGTCTTACATTCTTCTTTTTTTGAGAATTTCATTTCACGGTAAGGCTCCGTCATCAATAGAATGAAATTCTACCGTTTTCTAGATATATTGAAGACCATTTAATGTATGAAAACTGCATTAATTATTCTAACAAAATGGAGCTGAAGTACACGCGTGGCACACAATCTTAAAAGAAATAATCAAAAGGACTACATTGTGTCTTTCTTTGGATTCAAATAATCTGAAAAAATAACGAATCATTTTGATAAATGCTACGGAGTAATCTTGCATTTTCCGGAATGTATATATGACAGAAATTTCAAAAGTAAAAAAATATTAATCGATCGGACTCCTCGTGAAGCCTTAGGTACAGTAAACAAACAAAGATACCACAAAAACTTTACATAAGTAAATTTTCCGATTAAGGTTTAACGGTAATCCTTTGGACATGGTGTAGGGCTACTCACATTACTTTTTATAGATGAAAATATTTTAATATACGATATATAACAACAGAATATCAAAGAAAACTACATATTATATTGTATTAAATAAGTCAGGATTCTGTAAATTGCAAAATCCCGGATTGCACCTGAATAGATACTGTAGTGATTTAATTCATAATTACATTATAATTTTATTTGATAATGTTTTCAACTTATTACCACATAATTTAATTTTATCATATTATAATTTTAAATAAGATCAATACATTGCATGCAAAACAGATATAAACGATACCGAAGCTTTCATCATCTAAAATGAGACGAAGCACATTATTATTCGCAGGAGCTTTTACATGTGTGTGTATATATATATATATATATATATATATATATATATATATATATATATATAATGATATTTTGTAACATGTGCTGTCATTAATAAAGAAAAGTATAAAGTGTAGATTAAGAAATATACATTAGGAAATCTATAAACTTACACTGGTAAAGACTTCTAGTGATAAATTCATTAATCCACCGGCCGTAATGGTCAATTGTTTCTGAGATCTCATTATTATGAACAATACATTTTTACTGTAGCTAGGTGACATATTGTACCATAAAGAGTTATACCCCGCATCAGCGAGTGACCTACTCTGGGGGCGAAGCAACAAACAAAAGTTAATGTAAATGATATCTTTCTCTGGTAAAAGATTAATCCAATTTTTTTACTAGAGAAAATACTTTAATATTTGTAATACAATAGAAAGTAACCATATATCACAGGTATATTATAATGCTTGTTGGACACGAAATATAAAATATAAGAAATAATTCATTTAGAATATCAGATTAAATGTAAAGTCAGAATATATTTTAAAATATATGAATAGATTATATAACATCCGTTTTAAGCCGGAAATTGTCTCAAACAATCCGAAGATTGTAGTTTATAATTATATATGAAATTAAGTTATGTGACACAATAGTTGATTTTATAATTAGTAATTTATAAATAATCACTAACCTTAATATCAAGATATTCTCCAATAAAACAAAATATAAATATCTCCGCCGTTATACCGGCGTAAGCTAATCCACTTTTCGCTAGACTGACGTCATTTGCACTATTAACAGACTGTTATATTAAACAATTAGGAAATATATTGCGATTTTGATTACTGTTTATTCGAAAGGCCTCTGTAATACTTACAACGATAGCGATGACTGCCAGTATGCAAATAAGTGAAGTATTAGGAAAAATTTGCAAAAAGGTTATGAAGGAATATAGCTTATCGACATTTTCGGCAAATTCGATGACTTTATTGTGCTTTTCGATCAGCATTCCTATTGTAAAGTCATCAGATCCGATATAGCTCACTTTCATAGATATAGTTTTCAATTCTTGATATATTATATCAATTTGTCCGCTTACATGAAGTACCTAAAATATACTTAAGTATCTGCAAAGATTTCAAGTATTATGTTTAAAGAAGAAAATGCGTTTTGCAGCATATTTCAATTTATTGAAACAATTTGTACGTAATATTTTTTCATATATGTGTGTGTGTGCGATAATCAATTATTCAATTACAAAAATTTTCAGACAGGAAGTCTGTAAATTTTTAAACTTTCTAATAAAAAATCATGCCTTGTCGGATTTTGTGTAAAGACTTTTTACTGCACGCAATTATCATGTATTTACATATATTTTTGGCAATTTAAATTACATTAAATTGCAGGACAGGCTGTATTAGTTTTTCTACGTCAATATTCTAAAGTTACGAATTGACATGTAATAGAATCTCAAAAGACATACCAGAGAAAAGATTAGCCCGTTTATAATAGCAACCGTATACACCGTTAATATTCCATGCAGAAATAATAAAGCGACCAGCAACTCGTAGAACGGTGATTGCTCAGCCTCAAAAGGAAATAGCACCTTCATAGGAAACGGTCGTGAAGTATAATTGTCACCGTTCACTAGATGTATGATAGCTATCGCATTATCACCCCCGAAGTAGATTACTGCGGACGGCAAGACGAAACTCAAGAAAGCGATTAGGCAAAATTGTGAGTTGCTAGCTTTCGTCCTCATTAAGTGCAAATGCTGATCGATGTTAACGCACTCGCGCCAATCAATGTCCATAGAATCCAGTAGTTCGCGAATCCTTCTGTAATATGTCACTTTAATTGGATAGAGATACTTCGTCGGTTGGTTAAATCACCGATGGTGTCTCTACGCGAAATTATACACCGCCGCGTCAACTATTATTTAAACGTTGTAATTATTAAGGTACTTTTTGCTTTAATGGATTGTACACATTGAGGTACTCAGCGTCAGTCTTCTTCCTCGCAGGCGAAAACAAATCGAAGAAACTCAATGTCACGTTGTCTAACACAGTATCTTACCGACGATTCACCCAAAGTGTCGTCAGTTCAAGGATCGCCTTCATGTAATATATAGCCAGTGCTAATGGCCCTACGAGATTCTCCAGTTCGCTGAATTTGCAGTTCGCAAATAGATACAATTGTTGAAAATAATGTACAATCAATATAGATAACATATAAATTAGTCGATGAAAAGAAGTGTATGGCATGTCCGGCCAAACGCCGAGGATTTGAAGACCGATCTTTAACGGTGAACTGATCGTGCTCGTGAGTAACATCTTTCAACCACCCACAAGGAAATACACAAGGAAATAAAAGTCGAAATATGCACAGCACTCGCGTGTATGGTAAACTGAAAGAGCATCGTCCGATCCTCCAAGTACATCCCCGTATTCTTTGTCCCCACTCCGCTGACCAACGATCAATCATCATTATATAGCGTAATTTAACAGTTTCAATCGTTTTCCATACAGACATCCTATAATCTCGCCGATGCGTTGAATATTATCTTCTAAACGCGCATCAAAAAAAAATTAAAGATACGTCTCCTCAAACGAATATCAGTCTTTTCTCTTTTTCAAGAAGATTACCCTACGACAAAGGTACATACATACGATAAAGATGTGTACCATGTATAAGATATAAGTGATTCTCGTATTTTTTGCGTGTACTGAAGACCATTTAAAGTACGACTGCATTAGTTATTCTAACTGAAGGGGACTGAATTACATGCGTGATTATGATTCAGAAAGTAATAGTCGAGGAAAGTACGTTGTGTCTGCGCTTGAACACAGAACAAATGGCGAATAATGGTGTATAATTTTTAGAATTATTACGTATTGTATTTCCCGTGATGCATATGTGGCAGAAGTCTTAAAAGTAAAAAATTTTAATCGATTAGTTTCGTGGTAAAAACTTCGTTAGAAATACAGACAAACAATGGTACCTTGGAAACTCTGTACATTCAATTCCACTAATGCTATACCATTTAGCAGATCAATAATCACTAGAAAGTGTTGTCTAACCATATATCGTGTAACGCGCAATCAGAAGAAAAGTGAGAATATTAAGAAAGTTAATTTAATATATAATATTAGTAATAAAACAAGTTAATATAAAAAATTAGAATAAAATACACACACACAAGGAATCTCGTCTTTCAATTTTTCCACGAGATTATCTTTCAAAGTATTTACTATTGTATATGAATGAATAATTTGCTAATAAAAGCGCATATGTACGAAACGTCAAGTTGTCAAAATGTCATTTCTTTGTTGAACACATGCCCACATGCCGGATGAATTAACAATTATGAGAAATGATGGGCCAAAAACAGTTACGGCTGGTCGAAATTTCCTCGTAATTATCGATCCGGTAAATGGTATAGCATAAATGAAATGGAATGTACGTGCACAGAATTCTCTATAAATTTCATATTAAATTTGTAGGATAAGTTGCCTGAAGTTACGTACCTTTCCTAGGTAAGAACATTTAGTTTATACATTAGTATAACAAAGCAAACAAAAACACACGTATTTGAGCTCATATTAAATATAATTTGTATGTCTAGAAAATGTTAATCTTGAATGCCACCTTATATCTGGAAGCTACTTTTCCTACTAAATGCAGATGATATCTTCATTTTTAAACATCGTAACGATTTGAAATAAAGTTTATTGAGAAATTGGAACATCCGTGCATCCAATGGAAGTAGTATTGTTTTTCTGTGAATAAATAAGATAATTAATTGTTAAAATTAAATTGCCATGATGGAAAATATGTATTGCTCTCAGGGCAATAGAATAGGCGAAAATGGGAATTGGTCTATAATGAAAACAGCAAAATCTCAGATGTTAGTACAGGTACATTTTGCGTTTGTTATGCCCATATAATATCACGAAACTATCTCGCAATTCTCGAACATCATGCGTCTCCGCTCAAGGACTCCTCAATCGATCAATCGCAATTATATATTGCGTAGTCGAGCAGTAATCCGAGGCAGAGCTTATTATCTGTCTGTCCCGTAATTGTATTAAAACAATATATTCAATCGTGATTCAGAATGCAGTTTATATCACGCGATGCACGTTAATAGTCGCTCTGTCCGCTTCGATAAATCAGATCCATCGACGGTAAAAACAAACTTGCTTACTACTTGTCAAAAAGTGGCAGATAGAACGACCTTTGTATTCTCTACATATCATGAAGGCTAACAGACACAAACTCTTTTGAACAATCGCAGTTATGGGATTGAAAAAGATAAATAAGGGGAAAAACATCGTACCTCCTTTATACTAAGGATCTGTAATGTAATAACAATTAATTTTCTTCATTGTTTCAGGATTTCAAATTATACCAACCTCACACCTGGGAAAATTATCAGAAGCAAAAACAATCTAAGCCAAGTATATACAAGGTATCTGATGCAAAACACGCAAGACCATATGTGTAGAAAGATTAGTTCCAATAAAAAAATAAATTCCTTTATTATTTTTCAAAGAACCACAAAAATTTTTAACTTAAATTTGAGTTATTGATTGAAGATTCGTGAATCATCACGCGTCATACGGTAGATGACGTTTTGCAAATAATCATATAGATGTTTAATTATAAATTAAATTAAAGAAAATTAAAGAAGTATAGTTGTGTGTAATAGTACATCAATCTTCTTTAATTAATAACTGAACATCTACGCAATCATTTGCAAAATGGTAAAGGACTTTTTGTTCAGGTTGACTTAATACTAGCATACAAATGCAGGTATCGTTATTATAGTTTATTTGTCGTATTGCCCGTGATCATTTGTCAATCTTCTTTAATTAATAACTCAAAATTTTACGTGGTTGTGATATTTTGTTCAACTTGACCTAATCTATCTATACACGTAGTCTTGCGTGTCTTATTAAATACCTTGTATAAGTAGAAGTTTAGTTGCAATCACAGGTTGTGAAAAGATGTTACGTGGACTTTGCGGAGCCACTAAAATTTTTCAGCGACAATTCAACGGGAAATATATATGATGCAGGATTGCGTAATATCTTCTATAGGTAAAATTATTTTAATATACGATATAACAACATATAATAACAAAGCATCAAAATAATATTTATGGTACGTATCGTATTAAATATAAGAATAGATTCTGTAACTTGTACAAATCCCTGACTGCACATTGAATCGATATTAAGGTTTAATCTGCAGTTAATTTCATTGATAGCAGTTTTTAAACTTCCATGTCACACTAATTACGCCATTTAGTGTTAACGTCATTGTACTACAGTAGTTTTTAAGTGGTATCAATACATCGCATTCAAGACAGACACATATGACGCTGAAGCTTTCATGATCTAAAACAGGATAAAATGCATTATTGCTCGCGAAAATTAACATATATGCAAACAATAAATATTGTAACGAAAGCTAGAATTAATTAGTGAAAGTACAACGTGTCAAATGGATATAAATTAGGGAAAAACCGCAAGCTTACATTCGCGAAAGTTTCTAACGATAAATTTGTGATCCCTCCTGCCGTGATAGTCAGTTGTTTCTGAGATCTCATAATTACGAATAATATATTTTTACCCTGACTAGACGACATGTTGTACCATAAAGAGTCGTACGCTGCATCGACGAGTGATCTACTCTGGGAGTAATGCAACAAATGAAAATTCAAAATTAAATCTTCTTCCCTCTAGTAGAAAAAATAAAGATAATTTCTGTATTTTATAAATATCATCAAGTATTTATAATGCAATGGAAAATTGCAGCATATTTCATGGATACTTGAACGCTAATTATAGATGAAATGGATACAAATAAAGAAAACTTTCTACTGAGAAGGCTAGTTCGAATGTCAGTATTTTAAAAAATTATATATATATTTAAAAAAAAAAATATATATATATATATATATATATATATTTTGTAACCATTTTCAATCGCATATTGTCCCAAAGAATCGAAATAGTATAATTAATTATCATAATTAAGTTTGATGAAGAAATTAATCACAAATGATTTCTAAATATTTACTAACCTTAAGACTAAGATATTCTCCGGCGAAACAAAAGATAAAAATTTCCATCATTATTGCGCCATAAGCAAATATCGTCCTCACCAGGGCAAAATTAACTTCGTTATGAACAGACTGTTTAATTAAACGATCAGCAAAACTGAATGAATTACAAGATCGATCACCGTGCATTAGAAATGGGCATTGCAACACTCACCATTATAAGGAGGAGTCCTAGAGAGCAGATAACTAAGGTATCCCAAAAAATCTGCATCAAAGCCATAAAAGAAAAGAGTTCATCAAGATTCTCGGAAAATGTGATGATTTGATTATGCTTCTCGATAAGCATTCCTATCTTCTCATGATAGGACACTTTTTCAGAGGTAGTTTGGAACTCTTGGCATATAATATCAATTTGTCCGCTTGCGTGAAGTACCTAAAATATACTTAAGTATCTGCAAAGATTTTAAGTATTATGTTCAAAGAAGAAAATGCATTTTGAGAAGTGTATCTCGATTAGAAGGAAATTGAAAAAAAAAACAAAACGTAATATATTCCATGTGTGTGTATAATAGTCGATTATTCAATTATAAAAATTATCCGATCGGTGACCTGTAAATTTGATGCATGAGATTTTGTATAAAAGCAAGCTTTGCAAACTATGTTAAATTGGCGTGCGTTTGTTTTCCCACATCAATAATCTTGACTTGCAATCGGCATGCTAAATGGTCTGACTAGAGACGTACCAGAGTAATGATCAACGCGTTTAAAATGGTAAGCGTGTACACGTTTAACATCGCGTGCAGAAACAAGACGACGACTAGGAACTCGTAGATGGGCGATTGCTGAGCCTCAAAAGGAAACAGTATCTTCATGGGAAACGGACGTGATGTGTCATTGTCGTCCTTTGCGAAATGCATGACAGCGAACGTATAATCGCTCACGTAGTAGAACACCGCGACGAACGTATTGAAACTCAACAAAGCGTTCGAGCAAAAATGCGAGACGCTAGCTTTCTCCGTCATCGTGTCTAAATGCTGATCAACCTTCACACACTCGCGCCAATCGGTGTCCATTGAGGTCAGTATATCGGAAACCACGCTACAATTAATGTTGCGTTAATCTGATAAAGATACTTGTTAGTGGGTAGCAGGTTATCATGCTTCTATACGAGATTATACACCGTCGACTAAAATCTAAACGGTATAATTATTCAGTCATGTTCCACATTAACAAGCATCAGCAAACGAACGGTACCAAAATCCACGTTGACGTCGCACCGTGGAAACATATCAGAGGAACTCAAAAACGCGTCACATAACACGGTGTCTTACCGATGATTCTTCCAAAACATCACCAGCTTCATAATCGTCAAACTGGTGTCTAAAGTCGGTGCCAAGCTGTCCACGAGATTCTGCAGTTCGCTTAGCTTGAAGTGCGCGAACACATACAAATATTGAAAGTATTGAACGATCAGAATGAACAACATGTAAATTAGTCGGAAAACAGCGGCATACGGAACGTCCGGCCAGACCTTGAGGAACCGAAGTCCGCTTTTCAGCGACGGACTGATCGTGCTCGTGAACATCATCTGTCAATGAAGACGCGAGGAAACGAAAGTCGGAGAGTGCACGGCACTCTCGTGTATGTACAATGAACTGAGAGAGAGTATCGACCGATCCACTAAGCCCACGTGCTGCATCCCCACTCCGGTTACCACCGTTCAATCGCTATCATGCGTTACATAGTCTAATAGCAAGCCGAGATACAACTCATTACCCCCGCAGACGACCTGTAATTGCGCCGACGCTCTTAATAATGCCTTCTGATCGCGCACTAAAAAAAAATTACTCGTATATCTTTGTACGCGGTGATCAGTTACATTTTCCCTTTACTTTACTTTTTGCGAGATTTTCTCTACGACAACGCAATAAATCTCAATAAAAAGCGAGTGATCTTTGTTTTTTCCACGTGTACCGAGGGCCATTTAACATACGGCGACTTGGTTGAATGACCGTGACTCCGCGTTAGTTATGCCGACCGAACGGAACTGAAACACACGTGTGGCTATCAGCCCTGAAAAAAAAAATGAAGAGAGAACATTGTGCATCCGCTGAACTAGGGGCAAATAGCGAATAATGGCAGGTAATTTTCATAAATGCAAACGGACGAATGCACATGTGGCAGAAGTCTCAAAAGTAAAAAAAATTTTGATCGATTACTGACTCATCATAGAAGTTTAGTTACAGACAAACCAAGATACCTTGGGAACGGTACATGCGTAGAATTCGCGGGGGATATATTGTATAATAATGAATATGTTGGACTATCTTTTGAAACTATATTAAACTTTTTTGAATGAGCTTGTTTTAATAAGGATGTTGATATAACGCAGCAAAAGGGAAGAAATATGTATGTTCAAATTGTATTAAATATAATTTGAGATTGTCTGAGAAAAATTGTCGATCTTGAAAGTCACGTTACATGAACAGAAAAATTTAATCGGTACTTGATAACTTTATACTAAATTCTAAATTATTTCCCAAATCACTAAAATTGTATTATAATTTTTACTATAATATTTTCTATAATATATTTTACTATAATATTTTACTATAATATTTTCTCTATGTATAAATTGAATCAAGATTCATACACACACACACACACACACAAAACGAAATAAAAAATGATTCACTCCTCCCTTAATAAATATCTAATTGCGCAAAATATACTTGAAACAAACGCTGCGAATTAATCTTGCCTTCCGGAGACGAGATCAGACAATGTTCTACACCGATTACACCGCGATGAGATATCTGCTCAGTTTAAAGTGCGAGTATATATACAGATATTGACAGTATTGAAGAATCAGTATGCTCAGCATGTAAATTGGCCGATAAACCGAAACATACCGCACATTCGGCCATATACCGAGTAATCGGAGGCCAATCTTCAGCAACGGATTCATAGTGCCGGTGACTTGAATTCATAAACAGGTTTGAGGATACGGGGCGGAATGAAGCTCAAAGTCGGTGCATCTGTCCGACGTGATAAAATCGAGAGAGCACTGACCGATTCCCGAAATTCATTCCCGTACGGCACTCATTCCCACTACGAGTGACTACCGGATCAATCGCTATTACATGGTATAACAATAAGTTGAGATACAACTCATTAAATACGTACGATTGTCCTGTAATTCCACCGACGGTCTGATAATGTGTATCCCTATCGAAAGAACTAGACGAGCAATTACACACTCGAACGAACGTCTCGACGCAGATAATTGCCAGCTCAATTATTCTCTCTCTCTCTTTTTTTACGCAAACCCAACACTCCGACAACCCGAGTCCCTCGAGAGATGACGGAGAGGACATTTTTTTCAATTTTTCTATTCGCTCGAAAGATCACCTGACGCACGGCGATCGGTCGTAATTATGTGTATTAGTTATTCTAACTGAGCCGCATTATTTTCATATGCGATTATGAGTCTTGAAAGAAATGAACGGGAGAAAAGCATTGTATTTTCTCTTACCTAGCGGTAACAGCGAATAACGGCGAATAATTTTCATAAATGCTGTGGAGAACGGCGTTTTCCATGGGATGCGCATGTGGCAGCAGTCCCAAAAGTAAAAAAATTCTAATCGATTAGACTCGTCGTAGAAACTTAGTTATAAATGCAGGCAAAAAGTGCAGCCATGCACGAAAAAAAAGGTTGGTTGGACTGAGCAAATTCTGGTAAAATATGAACGAACCAGGAACTCTGATTGCGAAAGATTATTGCGAATGCTACCATTTATGAATTTTCCATAGACGATAAAAATGTTTGTTAAACGACATGATAGAGTAATTAAATTTTTCAATAAAATTCATCAGATTTTTATTATTGTAATTGTTAATGCTCGTTATTTGTAATGTCTTTTAATTATCGTTTACTTTACAGTAACTACCAATTAATCGTAATAGTTAATACTAACGTCACCGCATTAATACGTGATGAGCATTATTAATGATAATTCAATCGTTTTCTGTGTTTTTCATTCAATAAAATAGTCTACTCGTAGTGACATCAATATGCTATTGGTGCACAGAGAGAATGATTTATTGAATCAAATAAATGTTTCTTTGGAATAGTCCAAATAGATTATTTGGTTGACACAACAAAAATATTTCTTTTTTGAGAATAAGAACCTTTGGATATACAAAGTCAATAATTATTGACATTTTGAATATTTTCAAAGCAAAAAACGAAGATAATTTTCAGACTTTCGAAGCTGTTCCTTGAAAAAAAGTTTCTTATAGTTAAGATAAAGATGCCTTAAAATCGTAAATCCCGAAAATCACGTAAAATTAATTAGAAATATGCAATTAATTATTTGATATACAATTCCTTTCTAAATTATCGCTATATATCTTAGTTATGTTACTATAGTAATAGAAGAGCTGTGTACTGGCAGTTTAACTAGCGTCAATATATTGCAAACATGACAGACACATATGACGCTGACGTTTTCATGATCTAAAATAAAGCGAAGCAATTTAGAACACACAGACAAATACACGTATCTACTGATACAAACAATATAAAATATTACACATGCAGTCTATTACAAAAAGAATTCTGTTGGTGACAAGCTTACGGTCGTGAAAGTCTCCAAGGATAAATTCGCGAGTCCACCTGCCGTGAGCGTAATTTCCCTTTGAAATTTCATTATCATTAATGACATCATGCTGCCTTGATTAGGCGGTATATCGTACTATAACGAATCGTAGGCAGCATCGGCGATTGAGGTACCCTGAAAACAATATCGAAATATGTTAACGATGATAATCACCTTCGACATTCTATATTCACTAAATTTCGTTGTTCTAAAGTCCAAGATTTTCCTAAGATTACAATCTGTCGTCTTAAAAAAATATATGAAGTACTTCAATTACCAGTTCCAATAATTAATTATCACATTTTAAAAATGGATAACCATCATTTATAATCGCTGATATTCACCTTAAAACTAAGATATTCCCCGGCGAAGCAAAATATAAAGATTTCCGTGAGTATGACGCTGCAAGAAAAAGCAGCTTTCACCAATAACCCGATACTGGTGTCACCATGAGCAGACTGTTTTATTATAGAACGAAAAACACATAAAACAATTGAATTAAAAGATTGATTTGATTAAGTAATGAACATTGCGTTTCTGATAAAAACACATAAGTACAGAACGTCAAGTTCTCAAAATGTCAATTCCATTTTGAACACATTTACGCTTGTTGAATGAATCAACATTCAAGGAAAACGATGAGCTAAAAATGGACACGACTAGTCGAAATTTTCTAGTCGATTAAGTAAATGGTATAGCATCAGTGGAATTGAGTAGACGTGCGCAGAATTGTTTGTAAATTTCACTGCAAATTTTTAAAATAAGTTGTCTGAAAAATTAGGTGCCTTTTCTAACAAATAAACCTACACAAAAGTGTAACTTTTGGATAGGTTTACTTATGAGTAAGAACATTTTAGTAAATATATTAAGGTAACAAAGCAAAGAAAGACATATAATCCAGCTCATATTATATATAACTTTTGCATATTAAATATAATTAGAATCTAGAAAATTTTAATCTCGAATGTCACCTTAAATCTATGAGCTACTTTGTCTACTAAATGTAGGTGATATCTTAATTTGTTGACATCGTAATGAGATAAAGATAAAGTATTGAGATAAAGTATATTGAGAAACTGGGACTCCTTACATCCATTGGAAGTATTATTTTTCTCTGAAACAAGATAATTAATTGTTAAAATTAAATTGTTATGATAGAAATTATGTATTGCTCTCAGAACAATAGATTTGGGCGAAAACGGAAATTGGTCTATGATAAGAACAACGAAAGGTCAATACCGGCACATTCAGCAGTTGTTATGCCAGTATAATATCACGAAATTATTTCGCGATCCTAGAGAAAGCTCAACATCATACGTCTCTGCTCAAGGATCTCTCAATCGACCAATCGCAATTATGTATGTGTAGTCGAACAGTAATCCGAGGCAACGCTTATTATCTGTCTGTCCCGTAATTGTATTAGAACAATGTATTCAATCGTGATTCAGAATGCAGTTTATGTCACGCACGTTAATAGTCGCTCTGTCCGGTTCGATAAATCAGATCCATCGACGGTAAAAACAAATTTGCTTATTACTTGTCAAAAAGTGGCAGATAGAACGACCTTCGTATTCTCTACATATCATGAAGGCTAACAGACACAAACTCTTTTGAACAATCGCAGTTATGGGATTGAAAAAGATAAATAAGGGGAGAAACATCGTACCTCCTTTATACTAAGGACCTGTAATATAAGAACAATTAATTTTCTTCATTGTTTCAGGATTTCAAATTATACCAACCTCACACCTGGGAGGATTATCAAAAGCAAAAACAATCTAAGCCAAGTATATACAAGGTATCTGATGCAAAACACGCAAGACCATATGTGTAGATAGATTAGATCAAACAAAAAAATAAATTCCTTTATTATTTTTCAAAGAACCACAAAAATTTTTAACTTATATTTGAGTTATTGATTGAAGATGCGTGAATCATCACGCGTCATACGGTAGACGGTGATGGTGATTCCTGCCGCTGTATTCTTGTATATTAGGTCAAACTGAACAAAAAAGCTCTCTATCATTTTGCAAATAATCAAATAGATGTTTAGTTATAAATTAAATTAAAGAAAATTAAAGAAGTATAGTTGTGTGTAATAGTACATCAATCTTCTTTAATTAATAACTGAACATCTACGCAATTATTTGCAAAATGGTAAAGGACTTTTTTGTTCAGGTTAACTTAATACTAGCATACAAATGCAGGTGTCGTTATTATAGTTTATTTGTCGTATTGCGCGTGATCATTTGTCAATCTTCTTTAATTAATAACTCAAAATTTTACGTGGTTGTAATATTTTGTTCAACTTGACCTAATCTATCTATACACGTAGTCTTGCGTGTCTTATTAAATACCTTGTATAAATAGAAGTTTAGTTGCAATCACAGGCTGTGAAAAGATGTTACGTGGACTTTGCGGAGCCACTAAAATTTTTCAGCGACAGTTCAACGGGAAATATATATGATGCAGGATTGCATAATATCTTCGATAGGTAAAATTATTTTAATATACGATATAACAACATATAATAACAAAGCATCAAAATAATATTTATGATACATATCGTATTAAATATAAGAATAGATTCTGTAACTTGTACAAATCCCTGACTGCACATTGAATCGATATTAAGGTTTAGTCTGCAGTTAATTTCATTGATAACAGTTTTTAAATTTCCATGTCACACTAATTACGCCATTTAGTGTTAACGTCATTGTACTACAGTAGTTTTTAAGTGGTATCAATACATCGCATTCAAGACAGACACATATGACGCTGAAGCTTTCATGATCTAAAACAGGATAAAATGCATTATTGCTCGCGAAAATTAACATATATGCAAACGATAAATATTGTAACGAAAGCTAGAATTAATTAGTGAAAGTACAACGAGTCAAGTAGATATAAATTAGGGAAAAACCGCAAGCTTACATTCGTGAAAGCTTCTAACGATAAATTTGTGATCCCTCCTGCCGTGATAGTCAGTTGTTTCTGAGATCTCATAATTACGAATAATATATTTTTACCCTGACTAGACGACATGTTGTACCATAAAGAGTCGTACGCTGCATCGGCGAGTGATCTACTCTGGGAGTAATGCAATAAATGAAAATTCAAGTAAAATGAAATCTTCTCCCTTCTAGTAGAATCAATAAAGATATTTTCTGTATTTTATAAATATCATCAAGTATTTATAATACAATGGAAAATTGCAGCATATTTCACGGATACTTGAACACTAATTATAGATGAAATGGATACAAATAAAGAAAACTTTCCATTGAGAAGGCTAGTTCGAATGTCAGTATTTCAAAAAATTATATATATATTAAAAAATATATATATATTAAAAAAAAAATATATATACATATATATGTATATATATGTATATATATATATATATATATATATATATATATATATATATATATATATATA